AACATTAAGTTTTTCCATGTATTTGGTTCCAAGTGTTTTATCTTTAACTCTAAGGAATAGAACAAATTCGATGTGAAAGCTGACGAAGGAATATTTTTGGGATATTCGCTGACCTCCAAGGCATATCGGGTTCTCAACAAACGATCTAAAAAGATAGAAGAAACCTACTATGTCACATTCAGCGACAATTACTTGAAGAGGTCTCAGACGAATGATAGTCCATTGAAGGAGATCTTTGCTAAACCAAGTCCAACAACGATTCCACTCCTTAGTATTCACGAGGAATTCATGCTACTATCTGATGAGGCATAGAAGGCTATATCATCTTAATCAAAAGTAGCTGACAGCAAGGTCGATGAACTGAAGAGAATAATTGACGAAGATGAGAAAGATATGCACAAAGAGCCACAAAGTGTGAATGACCCACATGACATGAACACTACATTCTAGGGGGGAGAGTTCTGAATCAACTTCCAACGCAACTTTTCAGGGGGAGCACTCTACTCCACAAGAGACCCATGAAAGTCCACTCCAGGGGGGAGAATTTGACACCTAAAAAAGAGACATTCACATCATTCAAGGGCGGAGAAAGATAATACGAATGATGATTTGGATACATAATAATGATTCATATATACAGTCAAAATTCAACGACATAAATGCTGAATTGGATCCCTCATATGATCCTAATTATCGTCCTCTGACTAAAAGGACTAGACATCATCCAAAAATGTTGGTTATAGGCGAATTGTCTTTATGAGTTCTTACAAGAGAACAACAAAAGGCAAAGCGATCTGCTTTCTTCTCCAAAGAAAAATATTGCATGTTTAATTTGTTCATCTCCAAAGTCGTACCCAAAATTGTTCAGATTGCTCTAGACCATTCAGATCGAGTATAAGCGATGCAGGAGGAGCTCAATGAATTAGATCGAAACAAAGCATGGAGACTGATTCCTACTCGAAAGGATGCATCTGTTGTAGGGTTAAAGTGGATGTTTCGCAACAAGCTTGATAAAGAGGGAAATGTTATACGAAACAAACAACGACTAGTTTTAAAGGGGTATTGTCAAGAAGAAGGCGTTGACTACGAAGAGACCTTCGCACCTGTTGCTAGGCTAGAATCCATTTGCATGTTTCTGGCTTATGAGACACATAAGCATTTTGAAGTTTATCACATGGACATCAAGTGACCCTTTTTTAATGGGGAGCTAGAGGAGACAGTTTATGTGGAGCAACCATCGGGTTTTATAAACGAGAAGTATCCTAACCACTACTATATTCTGGACAAAGTGGTCTATGGTCTAAAGCAAGCTCCAAGATCCTGGTACGAAACCCTTACTCATTTTGTGAAACAGGCTAGACTTAAACAAGGTTTGGTCGACCTAACCTTCTTTCGCAAGAAAGAGGGTGACCACTTGATGATCGTCCAAATTTATGTTGATGAGATCATCTTCGATCTACTAACCCCATCTTAACAACTGAATTCTGAAAGTTGATGGACACCAAATTTGAGATGAGCTCCATAGGTCCGATTCACTTTTTCCTTGGTTTTAACATAAGACAAATTCAAGAAGGTATATTTATCAACCAAGAGGCCAACACAAAGACCTTACTCGCTAAGTTCAAAATGGCGGGAGACTTAAAAATGAAGGTTCCAATGGTATTTAGAATGAAACTAACACCATCTTTGGAAAAAGCAGCTGCTGATATGACCCTTTATCATCAGATGCTATGATAATTGATGTATTTAATAGCTAGTCGACCAGAAATTATGTTTTACTTTTGTTATTATGCTAGGTTCCAAGCGAATCCTCGCGAACCCCACATGGTAGCTGTCAAGAACATTTTCAGATACTTAATATGAACCTCCTCACTAGGCATATGGTATCCATTAAGCTCAGGTTTCTTCGTACAAGAATTTTCAGATGCTTATTTGGGAGGGTGCGGCCTGGATAGAAAGAGTACAACGGGTGGTTGCCAATTTTTGGATGGAAAGCTCGTGAGTTGACAATCGAAAAAAGAAAACTTGCTTATCCCTCTCAACTGTTGAAGCAGAGTACATAGTTGCAACCTCATGCACTTCACAAGTTATATGGATTCAAATCCAACTTCATGACTATGGCATCAAGATAAAGTGAATCCCCTTATATTGGGACTCTGAAATCGCCATTAGCATTTTTCATAACCTTGTGCAACACTCAAAGACGAAATACATTGCACTGAGGTATCATTTCATCAATGATCACATTGTAAGATTTGCTGATTAGTTGGTAGACATATTCATAAAAGCCTTACCTGAACCTACCTTTAATAGTTTTCATAGTGACATTTTTGTTTTTGGATATACTTTCGCACTCGTAACCTATAGGATGTCATGCAAATTGATGAGAATGCTCACAATAATTCTCATTTGTTCTGCGAATCGGTGCGAACACTCGCAGTAGCTTGCAACGCTTGTTTATCCTACGACTTCATACGAAAGCTGTACGTATCTCATGATCAATTGTTCGTTCGTGGTTTGGAGCGTTTTATATCCTTTTGTGCATTATGTATATTTTTTTATTTTATTTATTTCATTTTATTTTTCATTCAGAATTACAAAAAATATTTAATGGTTTTGTTTTAATTTTGTTTTAATTTAATTTAATTTTTTTTCTTTTCTTTATTGTAATTTATTTATTTATTTATTTTCAGAATATCAAAATACAAAAATATTTTACTTCTTTTTGTTTTTATTTGTTTTTCAAAAAAACTCAATTTTTTTTTTGCATGTTCATACTTCATTCATTAAATATTTGTGCAAATTTGATGGCAAAATCATTACTTTTCAATATCAAGTGATGGGGCAGGTATAAAATTCTTTATATGTGAACTAGTTAAGTGTCCCTAGAAGCATGTTGTTGTATGTTTCCTGAAGCCTCCTAGACTCTATGTGAAGCCTTTATGAATCGATAATACCAATTATTTGTTCCCAACTAGGCTGCGAATTCGCATAAGTCATGAGCTGCCTAACTCTTCTCACATTGAGGAAAGAGTTAGTTGCTCAGTCACTTTCGCATAGCAGAGGTACACTGTCTTCTTTGGAACCACCTTTTACTTTTTTCCACTACTTTCTCCCTCACCAATGTAACCCTCTAGACTCTCAGATATTACCACTGAGGTTTATGGTTACACAGTTTATGTGTTCATGATCTTCAATTCATTATCACCAAGAATTGAGTGAAACTGAAAATCCAACACACTTATACGAATTGATGGTGAACAATTTAGATGTTCAAGAGTCTTCACCAAGGAATTAACGAAACTCCACTTTTGTGGTCTCTACCAAGAAATTGCTTTTTCATTTGCGAGTTCTTAATGAAATGTTCTAGGCCAAATACGTTTCTTCCCAATAGATCCAATTTTATTTATTTTTTTTATATTTCAATGCGAATCCATGTCACTTAAAATAATTCCAAAACTTACTTATTTAATTAACTACACTGGTCAAACAAGTACTCCATTCATACTTTCAGACTTATATCAATTTTCGTAGTTTCGTTGGAGATAAAACTACCCAACAAAACCTTTAAATATGCCTTTTAGTGTTTCTTAATAAACTAGTGATCCTAATTCAACGGGGAACCATACAGACATTTGTTAGTCTCTCTTGACTTTGAAGGAAGAGATCTTTTCCCGGGATCCACTGTTTCGTGTCTTAAGCAACACATCATTAAAATCCCACACAAATGTATTGCTTTATTTCTTTATCATTGGCACACTCTCACACGAAGATCCTTGTGATTTTCCAAAAGTCTGGTTCGTGGCACTTAAATTTATTTTCAGTTTCGTACTTCAACTCAAGTTTACTTAAAAGTAAACGTTCTTATCTACATATGAAAGGCATTACGTCACTTTACTGAGAAAGGGGGAAACTGAAGCGGTAGTTCTAATGGATACGTTTTCAAATGGACAGGTGTAAATTTTAACCTACACCTGGTTTTTCGCCGCCTAGCATCTTTTTTTGACGCAAGAGTTGTCACATCGCATCTTTTTAGGCGACTTTTCATTAACCAATATGCCAAACATCTAGATTTCTCTCTCCAATCAAATCGTATAAAAGGTTTTTGACGATTCAACACTTATTATGACTTTCAAAAATCCTCACAGAATTTTGGGGATTAAACCTCTCTATTGTTCATCTTCTCTAAGAAATCAACAATGGCAGGTTCCTCTGAAACCCCTTCCGTTCAAGATCATTCTGCACAGTCAACGTTTCTTACTATTAAGCTAAATCAAAAATTGATTTTGGATCTTGATGCTCTCAAATACGACAGCTACATACTACTCATTGTCGAATGTATGAAATATTCCTCTCTAGTTAAAGCTTTGACAACATCTGATATTGTTCCGATGTCTCTCCTATCAAAGGCTTACTCGTCATCTTGATACATCAAGGAAGAATGAAGAATCACTTTTGAAGTTCACAACAAGACAACCTCAATCACCAAGTCCCGATTTTGCTCTTTGCTAGGGCTTACTTAGATTGATGATATGGTAAACCCTGATTCCATCACAATCGCCGCTATCATGGAGATGTTCTGCCAATTGGGTTACGAAGAAATCCTAACCACCATCTCAAAGTTCAGGAAACCCAATCTACCGCCTCAATGGAATGGGCTTTTTACCCTGTTATTCAAGAGCTTTTCTGAGCGTGTGACTGGCTCTGATTGTGCCAGTAAACTATTGATGACCATCATGTATGGGATCTACATGGGGGTCAACATCAATTTCGGGGCTATTCTTTGGGCTCAGTTAGTCCAAAGTACCAATTCTAAAAATTGACACAATGATATTTCTTCTGCATGATTCTGGAAAATCGTTGTCCAACGGGCAATTGAGAAGCTTCAAATTCTGGTGATGCAAGATTCATTTATGTATACTATCTAAATATTTCACACTACGAATTTCATCATTGCTGACAACTCCAAGTTCTCGTTCGTTGGTTCCATTCCTAAAGCCATGTTTCGGGATGTTCCTACTGCAAGTAAGATTCTTGACGCTTACAGGAAACTTCCAGTTTCAGGCTTTCTCCCTTTAACTGATGAGAAACGAGTAGTATTGGATGAGGCTGATAAGCCTAACAAAGTAGGAAAGAAGAAAGCTGAGAAAGAAGGTACTTCAACAGCAGCTGCAACCTCCAAGAATTGAAAGACACAGGTTGGCTCGTCTGCACCAGCTCCTCCTCCAACAAAGAAGCAAAAGATAAAGAAGATAGCTCGTAACCCATATCTCCAACTCATAGTGAAAGAAAACGTTCGTAGTCAGACGTTAGCATTGAAGCGGATGAGCCTGTCCAAACTGAAGACACTGCTGCATATTCAAATCCTGAGGTTTCGTAGCCTATGTCTACAAACCTAAAGGTAACCTTTCGGATTCCTATCTCAATTCCTGTTACTGATGACTTCTTTGATAATGTCTCGGTTCCCTCTCATACTACTAATATTTCAACACCAATTTTCATTGCCCCATGCCTACCTGTCTTATTAGGTGTTTCACAACCCCCACCTATTTTCACCGATTATGCCACCGCACCAACAACAACTATTGAGCCTCCAATTTCTATCAATGCATCTGATGCGGGGGCAGGAGCTTCAGGTTTAGCCACTGGTCATTCTACACCACCCATTTCCCCTCTTCACCAAAATGACCCATATATGAATTTTGGTGATGATGACAACTTCGCAGGATTCACCTACAGTCCATTCAACATCAAGATTGAAAGTGATGACAAAGCTCCTATCATGAGAGGGAAACTCAAGGAAATACATAAAAAACTGGACTCGTTTCTTCATGCTACAAAGAAATCTTCTACCGATGATTATTCTAAAGTAATGGTCAAGTCAATTCTTGATAACCTTACAAAGAGCAATCTGCCAACCTTGAAAAGATAAACAAGGTGGTAGATGCTTCTCCTATAGTTTGCAACAACACAACCGAAAACATCGATAAACTAATTAATGATGCACAATTATTTAGGAGAATTTCCAAAGTTCCTTGGAGTCCAACACGGTGAAGGCTAATGAAGTCATTTCTAGCCTGGGCTCAACACTTAAAACTGAGAAGGCAAAACTTCAAGACGTTAGCTTTGGTCTTAAATCTAACCATGATGAGTTCCAGTCATCCATCTCCTTGAAAATCACTAAGCTTCAAAATGATCTAGCCATGGAGAGTAAAATAATGGATGCACTTTCTGTCAAGACTGAAAAGGTGAAAGTCTTGACAGTCATACTTGAAAATGCTAAGAAACAAGTCAATGATTTGTTATATGAAAAAGCTACTATGAAGAGCTATATAGCAGACATCATTGGCATGCTTTCGAATTTCATTAAGACTCGTGATTCAATGATTATAATTATGGTAAAGAAGCATCTTATTGAGAAACTAAGGCCCGTCTTCGCCATGCTTCATCGACTGGAAGGTGTTCCGGAATCTAGCTCTATTCTGAAACAAGGGGGAGAAGGTGTGCCACAATCCAAGAAGGAAGACCCCAAAACTTCAGTTAAGCACACTATCAAAAGCAAATCTGAGCCTAAAGTCAAAGAAAAACTTTTCAGTGAAGAACCCATTGTTGAAAACAGCAAAGATGAAGAGCTTGATGAAAACGAGATCAAAAGAAGAAAGGCACGAGGGGCTAAAATGGATGAACTTCAAAGAATAATATGAGAGGCTGAAGCGAAAGAGAAAGTAGAACGTGAAGCTAAGGTCACTTTGGAAAGTCGGAAGCTTTTATTTCTAGAGTGGACTCTGAAGCGAATAAAGAATGAAACTGTGGATATGCCCAGTCAATATTAGTTAGAACCAGTTGTGTCATTCGAGCTTCAGAATAAACAAGATTCGCAGCTGGATCTGCCAATAACTCCGAAAGCCTTCAAGTTTTGCTCCTTTCTGAAAATAGCAAATGTCCCTTCTGTTGATAACGATGCAAATCAATTGCTCTTCTTGTTCTATCTCAAGCATATGAAGCCACAATATGAAACGTGGAGTGCTAGCAAGATTATTGCAGTGAAGGTCACATGTCCAATTGAAACCGAAAGTTTACCTAATGCGAAGTTCAAGTTTATGAGAGGTTTCGCTAGTCGGGTTCAAGAATTGACTCTCGCAGACCTGCCTTGCCTCAATCCCTATGATTCGATCATGCTTTACAATTTACTACAGAGAGACGCACAGAAGTATGAGCCCGTTATTGCTTACCTCAAACTGATGGTTGTTTCGTATGTTAAAGAGGTAGGAAAAATGGATACGGAAATTGATGTTTTATTATGCAGGAAGCCATCTGTTCTCCTCAATGAAGTTGAAGCATGGGAAAATGTACAAGGAAGGATGGTATGTGATCTTTCAGGCGTGAGAACGAAATGACACTGACTTTCACAACGCCGTTTCATCCTTCATGACGAACATCTGTACACAACCTTTTGCCTAGAGTATATTTTTGGACACGATCAATAAATTCAAGGGAAATAGCAAGGGAGAAAAGAAGGGCTTTTCGGATAAGATTCAATGGTACTTCCAGTTTCATATGATTCTGCTGAGCATTATTCCGAAAGTT